TGATAAATCATTTAACACGGCACATTGCTTTCTGTTTATCAGTCGACTCAACTTTGTTAATCAATCTATCACATGGCAATTTCGCAGTTTCCTACAATCGCTATGGATAAAATCCACTGCCTTCCCTTTATTCACCATTTCTGTTATTTCATCAAAACATTCACCTAAATTGGTCAAGCACAATTTACCTTCTGCAAGTCCTTGCTGGCACCTTTTATTGAACTCATAGATCTCCAAGGGTGTGTACATTTTGTCACTTATTCTTGTTAAACTTAACCACCTCATATTAAGCAGACTAGCCAGTAGCTGCTAGAAATATTTTTGAAATAACTTGAGAGAGGCCAATATCCCATCATCAAGTCACCCTTTCTTTACATGTGGAGAGTCCTTGACACTCAACTACTCAGAGCCAGCTCTCAGAGTGAACAGAGCCTCTGACACTTCTGTTTGTATCTGTCAGCTAGGGCTCCCTGATTTGATCAGATTGACAGCCCCAATCAGGGAACTCATATTCTATAAGGTCCACCTGGCTGACCTTGTTACAAGTCCGCACCATGCCCCCCCAGTGTGAGAACATAGACATGTGTTTTTTTGTAGCCCCTCCTGGGTTGTTTTAGTACTGGATCAGGTTCTTCCAACTCTGTCTCTGATACAGGCAATGTGTAAGGCATTGTAGCTTGCCTCTTGTGCCCAAAGTGTCTCAGAAGAAATTCATTCTCCTCTTCAGGTGGCAAGGCAGTGACATTCACCATGTCAATCTCAGATTCAGAGGTAGCTTTAACACTAGACGGACAGGGAGAACCCACAGGTCCTGGAACACTTGGAAAGGCAGTCAAAGAGCCAGGTATGTTTTGCTCCGGCACTGCTTGCAAGTTTGCAGCTTTCATCTGTTCCACATGCTTGTACAGGACCGTCAAATCTAGCCAAATTTCATATATCACTGTACCTGACCTCGCATCAACCGTGCCTCTTGCCCATGCAGTGCCATTCCCGTGGTTCCTACACCAAATTTCGTCTCAGAGGTAAACAGTCTCTCTCACTTAGAGGAGTCTTATGTCCTGTACTGGTGTTCCTAATGCTGTTTAACCACCCCCCTCAAGGTCCAGGAAGATCAGATTTAATCTGGCGCAGAATCTTCTCCCCATGGAGCGATCACTGTAGTTGCATGAGGGGCGGTCCTATAATCAAATGGAAACTGGGATACTTTGGTACCTCGTGAAGCTGTAGGCTGTTTCTTTATGTCTGCCTTCAAAGTTTGGATTGCTCTTTGGATGATGGATGGTATGGAACTGTCCTTATATTACAAATACCATTAGACTTTAGGAAATATTCAAATTCCCTACATCGTTTACTGAAATATTGCAAAGGCTGACGATACCCCAAATGGCAGTCTCATACATTGATACAAACCCTTAATAAGCATGACTCATGCTCATCTTCGTGAAGGACAGCCCATCTGCCAGATTTATGTATAAATCCTCTATGCGAGGGATTGGGTATTTATCCAGCCGTGAAAAACAGTTCCCCATTTGTCTAAAATCCCCACTAAGGCAAACCGACCTGTCGGGCTTCATAATCAGTATGACTGGTGCTGCTCATTCCACAAACTTGACAGGTTTGGTGATTCCGTCACGTTCCAGCTTTCTGCCTCTACTTTTGCCCATAAGGCAAATGGCACTGGATAGCTCTTACAGAATCATGGAATTGCTTCCTAGTCAACATGCAAAGTGGCCTTGGCTCCTTTGATAGTCCCTAGACCTTCCTGAAAAACATTCGGGTATTTAATTAGGACTTCACTCAGGCAGCCATGTTCTAATTGAGAGATGTTGAGCCAATCTCGGTGAATCTTTCTCAATCATTGACACCCATCAAGCTTGGGCCTGAGCCTTTTCCTATAATCAGTGATATCTGAGCCCACTTTTTCTCATAAGAGATCAGAACCAAAGTCGTACACTTAATTTGTAAAGGTTCCCAGCACAGCTTCTCAGTCTAGCCAAGGTCTTGCGCAAACTTCAGGGTTGGAGTCCAGAGTGAATTTCGTTAAAGACTGGTTCTGTGATCACTGAAACAACCATGCCGGCATCGACCCCCACTAGAACCAGGTAACTGTTTAACGGAACATTTAATATGATTGGGTCTGATTTAGATGAGGCTAAACAATTTAACTGTTCCTAATCACTGTCTGGGATACTGACCTATGAGTTCTCTTCCTCAATTTAGGTCTAGTGGGACTCTTTTGATGTCTATAGTCAGCCTACTAGCAGCAACTACAATGGCATGCTGGCCAGGATCCTGAAGAAAATTTTTAACTATTTGGTTGAGGCATGGCTTTGTTTTGGGGTTTTGCTTTTGGCTGACCTAAACTCCCTCTGGTCAGGATATGTCCTGAGTGAGGCTATGCAATTGCCTTCACTCAAGTGGTAGTACCCCAAGCTCAGTCAAACCGGCAAGGATGTCCACTTCCATCAGAATACCCTGCAGCTCACATGTTCCACTTGCCCCATTTTCCAATGATAAAGCCAACTGTAGTGCCTGTTTGATATCCAGTTGGATTTCAGCTAGTAGGCACTTTTGCATGGTTACATCATTAATCCCACATTCCAAATGGCCTCTCAGCATCTCATTAAGGGTTAAACCAAAGTCACATGCTTCTGCCAGTCATCTTAACCTAGTCAAAAATCCAGATATGCATTCCTCTGGTTCTCAAATTGCCAAGTAAAACCGATAGTGTCTCAGAATTAGAGGGGGCTTGGAGCTGTAATGTTCCTTAACTAAATCCATCAACTCTTGAAAGGTTTTAGTATCTGGTGCCTCGGGGAAAGTTAGGTACCTAATAACCAAAAAAGCTGCAGCTCCACAAGCTGTCAGGAGAATTACTCATTGCTTTTTATTTCTTCGTGTGTCACTTGCCTGGAAAAAATAATGCATTCTTTCCGCATACTGGGCCCAGTCTTCGACAGCAGAATCAAATAGGCCAACTTTCCCAAGTAATGGTATGATGCCAGAAATACTTACTGCTGCGAGCAAATTTCTTCAAGTGCATGCTTTTCTCTCATCACCACAGAAATAGCTCCACAAAGGCCAGTATCCCATCATCAAGTCAGTCTTTATTTACACGTGGAAAGTCCTTGTCACTCAACCAGCTTCCTCAGAGCCAGCGCTCAGACTGAACAGCACCGCCGACACTTCCAGGGCTCCCCGAATGGACCAGATTAACATGCCCAATTAGGGAATTTATATTCTGTGAGGTTCACCTGGCTGACCTTGTTACAATCACTACAGTTTTTACATCTTCCTCGTACAAAGATGTCCCATTTGTCCAAATTCTTGTCATTTCCCTGCCTCTAGGGAAAATTGGAAGAATGTGACAATGAATCCACTATCCCCATCCTCACTTCCTTTATTAGCAAGGGTTTCAAACCATTCAAGCCAAGCAATTTATTCACTAGCTATTTTAAAGGCAGGAAATTCCTATCAATTTTCACAGCATCTATTACCTTTATTATCTCCACTTCTACTGATAATTTGAAAGCATCAACCTCTCAGAAAACACCAATGTAAAGTGCTCTAGCTTTGCCTGTATCCTATGCATACGTCATCTTCACTTTCCCTAATAGATCTCCCACCAAGCGTCTTACTCCCACTCACTAACTGAAACCTAGATAGAGGATCTTTGGGTTCCCATTTTACACTAACTTCAGTTTTATTCTTATTCACCCATTACCAAGCTCAGTTTTCTGTTCACTTCCCCTGTCAATTTATTGTATATGGCCTGGGTCTCACTTGAATAATTCACAAATCACTCATCCTTTTTTCTTTCATCATGTTGTGTATCTACCAGACCATTTGAAACAGCCCAGGATTTTGGTGCCCCTGCATTTTGCGATTGTTAGAATGTTCCTAGTCTGTATTTTAAACATTTTTTCCTTAAGATCACACATTGCTCTAACCTCATGAAAAGCTAAAATCAATGTGATTTCTCAGGAGCTTCCAACCTTATTGATTGTTGATTCCTCGGGAGTTATATAGTAAACTGCACTGACAAATATATTTTTTGTCATTATAAACTGCAAGGGAACAAAGTAATTAGCTGAACTCAAAGTAAATAATTGAAATAAAAACTTTCTGGTATTTGACGTAGAAATAGTTATAAATATGTCAATTTACCGGAAGAGATATGCTTTCTTCAGGACACCTTCATCTTCACAATATTTTGGTACTGCTTCCCTGGCACAGTCGACCTACAAACCAGAGCAATGTTTTAGTGGGATAACACAATACTGATAACACAGTAAAATGGCTATCAACCTAAAATTGCCTCTCTTTCAAAATTGTTTTCTAAGCAAACATTTTTCTGCTAATTTTCTCTACTTCTCTTCTGTAGAGCAAGACCATGTAGAAGCCAGTTTATTGATATAATTCTTCAGGGTGTGGCATCGATGCTACACCAGCTCGTACTTAGTTCATGCTGGCTCCAATCTGTGTGTTCGATACCTATTAGGACAGAGATAGTAGGAACTGCAGATGCTGGAGAATCCGAGACAACAAGGTGCAGGGCTGGATGAACACAGCAGGCCAAGCAGCATCATAGGAGCAGAGAGGCTGACGTTTCGGGCCTAGACCCTTCATCAGAAAAGGGGGAGGGGAAGGGGGTT